GAAACGATCAATTCGACGAAATATTGTTGCTAATTAAATAAACTGAAGGAAACGATTGCTAGAAAACGGCCAGAATTAGCGAACAGACGAGGCGTCGCTTTCCGTCACGAACGCCAGGCCCCATTATTGTGTCTTTAGCCGTCAGAAATAAATTATTATCATTTGACTAGGATGTTCTACCTCATCCTCCACACTCTCCGGATATTGGCCCTTCCAATTATTATATTTATTTCTTTCGTTAAAAAATTCTCTCCGTGATAAAAGATTTAAGATGAAAAAGATGAAGAAAGGTAATAGATCAGAATCATATATAATTCAATAAATTCTCATATAACACAAATTATTGTATATCTCTTACCAATTACTAAAACGAAAGAAACTTATACAACCTAATAAGTAAAAGTAGATTAAAATATTATTTGACGATTAAAATGTTCGTGTAGGTTCACAATGATTTACAATTATTATTATACATTACTAATATACTTAAAATAATAAAAATTATATATTTGCATGTGACAGTTTTTATCAACTACGTTTTCCTATTTGACAACATTTCGAGCAGTAATGACTAAGAAAGACAGCCTGCAAATATAATCTATTGTATGTATTATACTTTTCTAATGTGAAGAAAATTGATGAACTAAAACTGTAAATATTTTAAATCATAGGGTAAGAAGAGCGATTATTCCGTCAGTTTCAACTTTAAAGTAATGTGCAAATTTACGACGACAACAAATACCTTTTTGTAGTAACGTGCTTACAGTTACGTTATATAATCATTGTTCCTTGAGAGCACAAGCACAATCTTTAAATATTTAATAAGTTGCACAAAAATATAAACATCATCGCGACAAACGGACCAAAAAGTCTCACTCTATCTTGTCTGTAACACAAAGTTAAAAATTTATAATAAGATTAATAATAAAAAAATATTTATAAACGATAAAATTAGCGTCACTTTTTGTTTCTCATTACATTACTCAATATCTATAATTTATATAATTTATATAAACGCATAAACAGAATATTATTACAAAATAATATTAAACCCGTTTCTTTTTTGGAGTAAAATTTCACTCGAAAAGAGTGAAAATTGTCACTCTTTTTTAAGAAGTAAAATATTTTTACTCTTCTCCAAAAATGGCTGTATTCTCTTGGAGAAAAATTTCACTCCAAAAAATTTAGAGAGCACAAATTTATTAATGTTTATATTTTTCCGATGAGATAGAATACATATTTTATAAATGTTATATCGCACTAAATTAAAAAGAAATATTTGTTAATTGCTTTATATAATTAAAAAAAGAGACTCTATTATATATATATATATATACAATATATATATACAATATATAGGATGTCGAATACGGTAGGATCTAAATCGAATCCTGGTCGGAATAATAGTTTTCGCAATAAATTCTCTACAATTTTAAGGTGCTCGTTAGTACATTCAGTATTATTAAATTGCTTTTCAATTTAATTTGTAATATTACGTATTATAATTTCAGTTTAGAACCGTGTTTCAAAACCGAAGACAATAATTGGTGCACAGTTTGCTCGAAGTGGAAATTGTAAATTCGTGTAAAAATATTGTTAGGGGCATCAAGATTCACTTTGATCAAATATGGCCTTCCTCGATTACTTGTATTGAACATTTCTCGATCAATTTTTACTTACAAATATAAATTAAAAAATTTTGGTATTAGAATATCAGAGGGAATAATAATGATAATGCGTGAAATAATGTATAATGTATTATAAAGAGGCCGTTATCGATGAAAATTCAATACGTTGATATAATATTTAGTGGACTGTCAGTGTTATTCATATACACGTGGCCAGTGGAACATTTAATTTATATAGTAAGTTTAATTATAACAGAAAGAACTGCTACATTTTGATTAATCAATTATAATAAATCAACATTATTATCCAATTAATCCAATATTGTTTCTATAGAGTAATGAGATTGGACAGGCAGTCTATACGGAATGATAACAACAGTCACTCTAAGGAAGACTCTATATAGATAGGTATGTTAAAGGCTCAAAAACCAATAATTATCTCAGTATCATGTACTATGTCCGCAGTATCTATAAATACCGTGTATCGGTAAGGAACTAAATTTTAATATGCTGTGACATTAAACATGCATAGCAGCCACTAGTATAATATAATCATTATTATTGTACATACAAAATTACAATGCATGAAAGCATTTCACTGTATGACACAAACAATTAATATTACATTAAAAAAAGTAAGTTGCCTGGATACACATCATAATATTATATAATTCAATACATATATATTATTTGGAATAAACTAATATTTTAGTTGAAATAATTCATTATAAAGATATTACGAATGTGTTCCAGTATTGGTCAACTATATTTTCCTATTTCATGATGCTGCGAGTAACCATGCAAAATGTTTGAGACAGAATGAGCAAAAACACGTGCTGCTGATAAAATTGAAAAGTATGCAAGCAACTATATTAAATTGCAAAAAGTCAATTTTTATTTTATTGTTACACCGATTACCACACGACATAAATGACACAATAAATTCGAAAAACTCACCAAAACTTTATGTAATAGTGTACAATAAGTTAAAAACTTTAGAAGATATTCATATTTTCTTATCTTGATGTCTTTTTTTATCATTTTGTTCCTTAATATAAAAAAAAATAAGTAAACACAAAATTAAAAAATAAGATTATTATAAACATTAGATTATAACTGCATTTATAAATTCAAAAATATCAATCAGTTCTTATTTCTATTGTAACTCCAAATCTAGATCAGAATATTATGAACAAAATAAGGAAGAACTTCTTATCGTGGCCATTGTCAAAGAATGCTAGTAAATTCAGGTAACACCCTTCAAAATCTTATGCTCTTTGTTCTGTATGAATGCAGCGATATTAAGCATTCTAAGTGACTCTATACAAATCCCTCTGAAGATAACACTACGCGTGCTGCAATATGACCGATTGTAAGTAAGAAATACAAATCCATAGCGATATCAGACCGGCTTTTGATAAAACATTCTCAATCTATTTTATTCAATTCTAGAAGAATGTTCAAGAAATATTAATGAGTTAAATATATCATTGATTAACATTATATACTATTCTACAAATAACTTTTTTTTCACTTCTGTTTATCCGGAGCAAGATTACACCTTCACAAAAATTACATTATCTTTTGAAAACCATGAATGTAATTATTTCAGTCATCAATTTTATTCATTTAATTATAGCACAGGTATAAACTACATACCAGCTAAAAAATCGAATTAAACTTTAGTACTTGATTTCGGAATGGAGCGTAATTTCGAGTGAGCGGAACCATACGAGAAAAAGTTTTACCAACGGTAAGTAGATGGATACGTAATGTTTTACGCAAACTCTCTCTCCACAGCGGCAGTTTTTCTCGGTGCATGTAAAACGATGACTGTGCTACTGATAGCAGCCGATCAGATCTTTCCAACAAATGCAAAAAATATTCTTTTGACGTGAAATATGGACCAGTGAAAAAACTATTATCTTTTTGCATCGTTTCATCACAGTGCTTTTCCTTCATTAGTCTCTGCAACTTTCTTCTTCTTATATGTCACGGCACATTTCGAAATCCTGTCATAATTTCATACGGTCATCAACATCTATAAAATCGTATGTACACAAATGAAATTATTGAAATAATAGGAAAATGCATTTTATCATTTATCAAAATTAATAATTATCACTTTCTAATAAAGAAATAATTATTTTTATTTGACGTATATTTTTTTGGAATACATCTAACACTTTATACATTTATTTTCTGTTTCATGTTAAAGTTATTTTATACATAACATATTATTCGTTATTTTTCTAATAAAATTATGTCATGCTTTTCATTAAGTTGCATTAATTGTTTTCTTAATTTCTGTTAAAATTAATTTGACATAAAGTTAACTTAATTCTATCACGTTACAAGCTGCACCTTTTTCATTATAATTATATTCAATATCAATTAAATAAACACTACAGTTAATTTTTTGTCACGCATTATTTCAAGATTATAAGAAAGTCTTTATTAAATATAGATATATAATGAAGACCATCGTTTGTAATAAAAAGGTATTACTTTTAATACACACAGATATTCTTTTAAATACGGCACAACATAAAATATTTTAGGATTAATGTAAAATTTACATTATTAACCTTATACGCATTTGTGCTTCTAAATTTTCTATTTCACTTATCATATAACACGCGTTATACAAGATGTAAATTCAACGTTTAGTCAATACTTCAGAAAATGCAAAAAATACTGAAAAATTGTACCTACGTTGCGTTCATTTATATTTTAAAGCAAAATGTACTTTTCTCCGGCAGAGTGATGCGTGCTATAATGAACTATAATGAACTATAATAAGGAACTATAATGTGGCAGAAATTATGAGAGAAAAATGGAAATAATGAAATGTAGGAGGGATGTATACGTTTAACAAAAAATCATTGTATAAATCAATATATACATCTCTCCTGTATTTTATTATTTCTTTTCCTCTCTCATAATTTTTGCCACATTATAGTTCCGCACGCATCGCTCTGCCGGAGAAAAGTACATTTTGCTTTAAAATATAAATGAATGTAACGTAGGTATAATTTAAGTATTTAATATCACGCGATTTTTCTTTCCTCGTATTCTTGAGGTATGTTATTTTTAACACTTTAGTCGAGTGAGAATCGCAATAAAATTCGTTATTTTCTATTTCTAATACACCACGACATTATTAGTGTTATTATGACAGGAACATTGACGCTAGAAAAGGTTATTGCCTTCTTAAAAGTAGATCTGACGTTTGCATGTTGTTGGCCACTTCCGATGAAGGCCACAAAATTTCAAAAGATTCGTGACAAGATATTTCGATTATTATGTTGTTTAAATGGCATCATAATGTCAATATCATTAATATATACATTAAGCAAGAAGTATGATAACATGATTCTTGCGATGAAAGTGGGCTGTGAGTTGAGCGCCACTTGGCAAATTCCAATACAAATTACATTATTCACACTTCAAAGTGACCGTTTGCACGTAAGAAACACAATGTGTTTTTGAATTTATTGTTATTTCGATTTATTTGTATCGTAGATAAAAAGACATAATATAAATCTATAAAAATTAAATTTAAATATTACGTAATGTAGAGATTTAAATTTGTACGATATAACTTACAAATTTTTCAATTGTATTATAGTTGTGACAGTTTCTAAGAAAATTAAAAAAACTTATTTAAATAAAATTTTCTTTTTTTATTTCAATCTTTTACGATAAATAATTTTAATATTATTGGCATTTAAAACAATTTAATATCAATTGCGTGAATATATATATACTATATATAATTTATATATACATAAAGAAAATATATGCATGTATATTATTTATTATACATACACGACTTTTTAAAATTTTATTTATTTGGGTTCTGAAAAATAAAAAAAGAATACATTTTTTAAACTTTGCACAAATATCGAGTAATTCAACATACATGCCATGACAATAAATATAAAATTATCTATCGCTAAGAACTAAGGCATTAGATTATCTGAGATCTCACAAAATCTTGACCATTTTTCCAGAACTTCTGATCTACTATTATTTTTCATACTAAAATACATATTATGATATTAAATGCCTCTCAATACAAGAAACGGTAAATGTTCACTTTAGGGGAGACCTCTTCGATGACCTCGGCTTTCACATATGTTGTTAAGGTCACGACTTCCAACAGCTTTTAGCCGTCGCTCGTTATTCGTTAAAAAGTTATTAAGAAGAAAAGTTAAAAATATGATATTTCTTTTTACTACATAGAACACAAATTTTCTGGATAAAAGTTTACCTTTACACAGCTCGTCCCAAATGACTTTTCACCGACCTCGATGTTGACCTTGACCTTCAAGGAGATCACCCCTAAAGTAAACTGCAGCATTTTTCAGTTTTTTCGAATTGATTAACAAAGTAATTTTATCATTTTTCAAATTTTATAAACTACAAATACAAATTTCTCATTAAAACCTTCACTTAATTAATTCTATTATCACTTTTATTGTACAATTTATAAACTTTTTCTTACACCTGTGTTTATTTTGTTTCAAAATTAAAAAAAACTATTTAACAAAATTAACATGTCTTAATGATCGCACTTAAAAAAGAATTTATTTTTAAATAACTTTTTTTAAACTCTTTCATTAATATCGTGAAAAAATATACAAGCAGTGATATACATTTAGTACTAATATTTTATACTATATAGTATATGTTATACAATACGAAACAGTTCAAATTGAACTATTATATTATACTTATATTATATATTTGTGCAAAATTTAATTTGCCAAAAACTTAAAAAATTATAATTAAAAATATATTTAGGAAATACTGCCATTTTGATAAATAGATTTAGCTGGTATATAAATAAACACCTTTTGCTGATTCTGTTATTAATAAGAAATTACATAATATATGCAGATCATAATATACGAAATGGAAGATTATATTCAGCAAGCAAAATCAGAAGAGAGAAATATATTTCAACGATATATAAACAAATGTAAATTATTTTACGGTACGACAATATGTTTTATGACCACGACAGCTATAATAATGTGGTTCGGACCATTATTGTTGCCTCAACCCTTTCCAATCGAAGTTGAGTATCCATTCGATGTGAATAAACAACCACTAAGAACTATTATTTACTTGCATCATATAATGGCTGTATACCAAAGTCGTACGCAAGTATGTAGCAACATCTTCATAGCTCTTCTGCTTTGGTTCACAGCAGCAAGATTCGAGATTCTATCCCATAAATTTCAGAAAAGTACAAGCACCTCAGAATTCATAATCTGTATACAGTTGCATCAACGACTATTACGGTAATATATAGATTATGTAATACAACGCCGCATAACATCTTTAAAAATAATTATATACTTGTATATAGAGGTGTTGCTAATGATAAAATTATCGATAATTATCGATATACTTTATGATATGTCGATAACATAAATTATCGATAATATCGATTAGATATCGATAAGTAAAGATAAATTATGATGAAAATATTATCTGCTCGACAGTTCTTATTGCTAGACAATTATGATACTTTCAACTGATAAGAATAAATCTAATTAAATAACAGAAATCCTTATATATTTGTGGTCAAAGCAGATCTTAATGCTTAAGTATTTCCATGTGAATTACTTATTTGATCGTGCAAACCGCACGCCAAAATTTTTTTGTCTTGGAACACAATTATAAGCAGAACCAGAGTTATAATATTATTTATTAAATTGATAAGCAATTTAATATCTTTTGATACTAATGATTCACACGGAAGCATTAAGATCCGCTTTGATCGAGTATATAGTAGTTTTTATTAAATCTGTCTTACTGTTAATTTAATTTACTTGATGAACTCACCAATAACTGAAATCGGAATAGTAATATCATGAATTATATTAATAATTAATTTAATAATGATAAATTAAATCTTTTTCATTACTTTTTCGTAATGTTAAAGTAAGATATTAGATTACACAAAATTGCATTATTTAGTAATCAATATTATAATTGCAAAAATTAATATTAAAACTTCAAATTCTAAACTAGCCTCTATACAACAAGCTTTTCTTTATATCAAACTTATATCTAATAAATATTCAATAATTTTTTAGAATAACATTTTTATTTTTTAATATAAGCTTATCTTTAGGTAATTAAATTATAATTTACAAATAAAAATTTCATTAAAAATTTTATTAATCATTATTTTTATATAAACATTATTACACTGAATCAAAATACTGTTACATGTTTTTAATGATTTTAACGCAGTGGAGATTGCGAATATCTAAGGAAAAAATTAATTAGAGCCGGCGATTGTTTATCAATTATAGAAATGTTTATTAAAAGAATATTAACTTTAAACTACAATGATTAACATTTGTATACTATTAACATAAACTATAATTTTAAATAAAAAACAAAATTGATTCGGTATTACCTCACATGACGGTGGATAATTCCCGACGGTAAGTTTTGTGTTTTATTTAAAATTATAGTTTGTATTGATAATATATATGAATGTTAATTGCTGCATAGTTAAAGATAAATAACTGAAGTATCTTTTGAATAAAGACTTTTATTAATTAATAAAAATGATTGACAGCTTTACTTAATTTTTCGCTTAGGAGTCCGCTATTCTTCCACTCTTCCCTACAATATAAAAAAAATGATTGTAGGTACTTACATCCCAAAGTAATTCATAGAAAATGTAATCCACTTACATGGTGGACGACAGAGGGAATGACAAATTACCTAAACCTGGAGCAAATTGCATTACAATATGTATACCTACCAGCTACATCAGTCCCCAGTGAAAAAGTTTTTTTTCAAAAGCTGGACAAATTCTTTCAGATGGAAGAACGCGACTGCAACCGAAGCATATAAATATGCTTACTGTTTTGAGTATTAATGAAGATAAAGATTAAGAGTAATTTGAAAAAAAAGTTTAATTAATCTTCAGTTTTTCAAATAAGGTTAATTATATGGAGAGTTGAGAAGTAACTCGTTATTGTAACGCCGTTACTTTTTTCATTAGTTTTTTTTCAGTAACAATCGTTACTACCTTGTCTTTAATGGTAACGGTAACGTTGTTATATTTTGCAGTAACAATAACAATTTAGTCGTTACTTTTTTCGTTACTTTAATCTTTATTGGACGGGTCGGATTGGATTATATGTCAATTTCGCTGGCGCTGAAAGATATTTCGCTTTTGTGTTCCCAAAAGTGTACTTCTAGTAACCCAAGTTGTGTCATTGTTATAACAAATGAGCGAAATATACTTAAAATTTTTTTAAATACTTGTGTGAGTATACAAATATATATTTACAATTTAACAGTGTAGGTATCATGTATAATAAAAGGTTATTACTTGCAATAAATATAATTATAAAATGTTTACTTTCTCATTTTTATTTCATAAAAAATGTTTTATGTACCTATATATTTTATCTCTCAAACTGCATTCCGGTAATTAGTATCAGTGTTAAAAATCAGTAATTCACATTACATACATACTAAGGATTTTCAATACTGGAAGTGAATCTTGGAATATATTCTTAATAATGACATTAAAGCTTAAAAACAATATTTAATTTAAATTCGATAATTGTTAAGTTTAGCTCCCGACGGTTATTTCCGCCAGATTCGGTCATTTTTTTGTGCAAAAACGCGTCGAATGAACCTAATCAACATCAACAACAAGCATATGAAGGAGTTAACTCAACAATTTTTTGAAAAGTAACAAAAAAGTAACGATTTATTTTCAAATAACGGTAACGCATTATTTTTTAAAATGAGTAATTAGTAAAATGAATAACGGTAACGAATTATTTTTAACAAAAAGTAACTGTAACGGTAACGTGTTATTTTTTAAGGTAACATTCCCAACTCTGATTATATGTTCTAGGTTAATTACATGTACAAAAATTGTTCCTATTTTTCAAATGAATAAATATTATTTAATCATTATTGTATTTAACTTTTTTTACATAGCTATTTTTAGTTTATTATATCACAACTATTCTTATTTTCAGTATAATAAAAATATGTAATGTGTACAAAGTGTTATTCTTTAACATACTCATCTTGCGTTAAATTAACACAAAGATTTGAATGGACCGTTTGAGACATGTGAAATGTGTTAACATAAACTTTTTCTAACTGCGTAATAAACTTATTTTTCTCAACATTGGTGACAAATCAAGTGAAACTATTAAAAAAACATATAAATAGGTTTGAAACTGTCGATATCTTAACAATATTATCGATAAATTTAAATTAATCGATAAATTATCGATTACTTATCGATAATCGATAATAGCATCTCTACTTGCATAGGGTAGAGTCATTCTAGTGAGAGTCAGGACACAAAAACGGAAGGACGCCATGTTTCAGTCTTATTGAAAATAGCTAATAATTAAATTCTTATTCTTCTTTAATAAATGACACCTGCATTCGGAAAAATAAGAAGGATCAATACGGCCAAAATTAGACTAGCGATAATTATTTTAAGATAATTTACTCAAATCGAAGCGAAAAAATGTCTGCCTATAAAAATCGCTCTCATCTGTTCACTTACATTCACTAAAACATTAACAAACATGGTGGCACCAATCACGAAGAGCTTATGTCTCGACTCTTACTAGAGTGACTCTAGTATAGGTATTCAACACAAATGAGCGAAGAAGACTACATATTTGATCAAAGCGAGTTTTGGTGTCTAATAGTATATTTTGCATGAATTTTACAATTTCCAATTCAAGCAAACTATAAGGAACTGTCAGTTTTAAAATACAGTCTTAAACTGAAACTGGATTACGGAATATCATAAATTGAATTGATAAATGATATAATATTACTGATATCAATTATTAGATACCCGCCTTAACCGAATATGGTCTTCTTCGCTTAATTGTATTGAACATTTCTCAACTGATTTTCATTTAAGAATATTAGCTATTTTAGTTAATTTTTGACTGATATTTTTAGCTGATATTATAAGACCAAAACATCTCTTTAAACTAATATACACGCAAAAAAAGGACTTAATAATATCAGCTAAATATCAGTTGCTGGTTCAAACTTTGATGTTATTACTAATAAAAGTTGGCTGTTGAAGATAAAATACATTTGCTGCCAACGTCCAACTATATTAGTTAAAATTAAAAGCGTACTTAACATGAGTAGCTAAGTAAGTGGCAGCTATTCCTTATTATCTTAGCCGCGTAACCTTCATTCGCAATTGTTTCTGGGATGCTGCCGATTGCCGTTTTATTCTAACAAAGAATATTTTTCGCTGCAGCACCTAAATTTCAGCGGATAATAAATTGAGCTTTGGTAGCAACGACATTAGCTGTCCCTATTATAGCGACACATTTTAACTGCCATAGATATATTTTAGCTGTGTAGACTAATCTTTTCTCTGCGTGTGTATTACTTTTTATTAACCAACGCATAATTACAATTAATTCTATAATAATGTACATAATAAAATTAATTAAAAAAACTGGTAGTAATTAACAGCTAATTACAGATATGCAAAAAATGTTACTATAACAGTTCGATATATAGTATTGACATCGATAGGATTCAGTACCATAGCAGTGGTATTTAGTGGCCTTACTTTTTTGAGCGTGAGTCATTTCTCCATCTTTTCCTTGCATATACTTGTTACATAATATTAAATTCATTTGTTTGCGTAAATACCTTAAAAATCTTAATTAAAAATAGTAGAAGCATATGAGAAGATCCCGTTTGTCTATAAATGCATCGTTTGACATTACTTTTGCCAACAGTTTGCACACAAAAATTATTACCTACAGATCCATTACCTATCACTTATGCGTACAAATAAAAATTTCAGAAACGAAGTCATATTTATCTACATGTATTATTGCCTACAGCTCGGTTGTCTACAAGCACTTCTGCACACAAATATAAAATTATAAAGGTTAAGTAAGAAAATAATTTGTATTTTTAAAGCAAAGAATTTATGTTTTTAAAGCAGATAATTTGTGTTTTAAAACAGAATTTGTGTTTTTAAAGCAGAGAACAGCACATGTAGGCAATCGAGCTGTAAACAATAATTTTTGTGTGTAAACGAACTTTCGGCAAAAGTAATATAGGCAAATTATACTGTAGGCAATCGAATTGTTAGCAAAAGAAGTTATCTCGAAGCATATAAACTTTAAGTTATATAAACACATCTAATATTTATGTAATTAGCATTATGAAAATTAGATAAATAGACGCGACTTTTAGACATTACATAATTTACTAAAAAAAAAATTAAAAATTATTTTATTAATTTAGAATTGTAGACATTGTGACCAATTTTTTTCTTAATATCAAATATAATCTAAATTTTGTATTACTCATATTAAAATATTATCTTGCACAGCAACAACCATTAGCTATAAAAACCCAATTTTTGGCCATTGCCACATCCGCACTTATAGAGGTTTTTATCTGCGCATGGCCAGCTGATTATTTATTTCGCACGGTAAGGCATAGCAACCACATAAAACATAAGAAAAGGCATAAAAAGGATTTATATTAAAATAAAATGGAAATCAAAATTGGAATAAATTAAAAATATAAATATAAAATATGTATAAATTTTAGAATAAATATATAGATAACACATGATTTCTTTTAATATAATTGATCCTTATTTTAATATTTCAGAGCAATGACATTGGTTATGCTGGATATGAATCGTCATGGTACGGTAAAGATATATCATTACAGAAGAATTTGTTACATACTGTGTCGAGATGTCAATATCCTGTAACTCTAACTGTGCCATGTCTACTACCAACTCTTTCACTTAATTATTATGCTTCTGTAAGTCATATCTTAAATTAGAATATTCACAGGAGTTATTCTCAGTGGTTTAATTAAAATTCAATAATCTTGTATATAATAATTCATAAAGAAGATTGTTAAAGAAATGTCGATATTCGCTCCCAAGTATGAAGTAGATTAAGGTACTCGGCAATCTTTACATGTATAATTCTAGCTAGAATAATTATTTTGCAATTATTAACGTATACATACATATATTAGTTTTCTCATATTATTTTTTATTATTTTTAAGTCATTCTAGCAATGTTTCCATCCCTTCTCGGAAAAATTATTATTATTTCCTGTCATTCATAATTCCAAACAATGATTTTTCAAGATCCATTTATTTTACACTTGGTAGCAAAAATCAGCAATTTTTAACATCTTTCTTTATTATTATCTTTTTAAACATAATAGTTTATTATGTCTATATATAAGTTTAAAATAAATCATAATCAAAACATTATTTCATAATTAAAATGTTCGTGTAGGTTTATAATAATTTATCATTATTATACATTACTGATACTTAAAATAATCAAAATTATATATTTACTTGTGACAGTATTTATCAACTACGTTTTCCTATTTGACAACATTTCGAGCAATGCTTGCTGAGAAAGATGGACTGCAAACGTAATCTATTGTATGTATTATACTTTTCTAATGTAAAGAAAATTGATGAACTAAAGCTGTAAAAATTTTTAGGCGCGATTATTCCGTCAGATTCAACTTTAAAATAATGTGCAAATTACGACGGTAAACAATTTCTCTTTGCAGTGACGTGCTCACATCTACATTATATAATCATGATTGCTCCTTGAGAGCACAATCTTTAAACGTTTAATATGTGCTGATCAGAAATATAAACATCGCGAAAAATGAACGGAAAAGCCCTACTCTATCCTACCTGCATTTGTGTCTGTAACACGAAATTAAAAATTAATAATAAAATTAATAAAAAAGAAATATTTGCAATTGATAGAATTAGTGTCACTTTATGTTCTATATTACGTTATTCAATATCTATAATTTAAATAATTTATAAATGCATAAATAAAAAATTATTACAAAAAAATATTAATTTTATTTCTTTTTTGGAGTAAAATTTCACTCCTTTGGAATGCTCGTACTTTATGATATATTGCAAACGATACTACGTTAGATTTGAAATACTTCAAAATATTTCATGTGCTTATATATAATTATGTATAATAGCCTACACATTTATAATATACTTATACGGGTATTTGAGTAACGATAAAACTCTTGCATAAGGGTAAAGCGGAATAAACTGAGTCGAAAATTCCTCTACCATTTTGCAATTTTCGCAATAGTTAACAAGATATTAATTACTAAAAATTGCCGAATATATTAGTCTGTGCTATTTAACATAAAGTTAACTTAATTTTATCATGTTACAAGCTGCATCTTTTTCACACATTACAATTATATTCAATATCAACTAAACAAAGACTATAAAGTTAATTTTTTACCACGTATTATTTCAAGATTAAAAGAAAGTTTTTATTTAACATAGGTATATAATAAAGACCATCGTTTATAATAAAAATTATTTTTTATACACACAGAGATTCTTTAGATACAACATAAAATATTTTTCTATTAATATAAGGTTTACATTAATAACCTTAGATGTATTTGCTTCTAAATTTTCTATTTCATAACACGCGTTATACATATATGATGTAATTATTTCAATGTTTAGTCAATAATACTTCAGAAAGCGCAAAAAATACTGACCTACGTTTAACAAAAAATCAATATATACAATCCTACTGTATTTTATTATTTCCTTTCCTCTCTCATAATTTCTGCCACATTATAGTTCCGCACGCATCGCTCTGCCGAAGGAAAGTACATTTTGCTTTAAAATATAAATGAATGCAACGTAACTGTAATTTAAGTGTTTAATATCTCGCTGTTCTTCCTCGAATTCTTGAGGAACGTTATTTATAACACTTTAGTCGAGCGAGAATCGTAATAAAGTACGTTATTTTCTATCTCTAATACACCACGACATTATTATTGCTATCATGACACTAGAAAAGATTATTGCCTTAAAAGTAGATCTGACGTTTGCATGTTGTTGGCCACTTCCGATGAAGGCTACAAAATTTCAAAAAATTCGTAACATGATATTACGGTTGTTATAATATTATGAAAATTAAATAAATAGACACGACTTAGGCTTTACATAATTTACTAAAAAAAAAATTATTATTTTATTAATTTAGAATTATAGACATTGAGACCAATTTTGTTCTTTCTATCACAAATATAATCTAAATTTTGTATTACTTATATTAAAATATTATCTTACACAGAAACAACCATTCACTATAAAAACCCAATTTTTCACTTCTGTTTATCCGGAGCAAGATTGCATCTTCACAAAAATTACATTATCTTATACTTTTGAAAATCATGAATGTAATTTTTTCAGTCGATTTTATTTATTTAATTATAGCACAGGTATAAACTACATACCAGCTAAAAAATCGAATTAAACTTTAGTACTCGATTTCGGAAATGAAGCGTAATTTCGAGTGAGCGGAACCATACGAGAAAAAGTTTTACCAACGGTAAGTAAACGGGTACGTAATGTTTTACGCAAACTCCACAGCGACAGTTTTTCTCGGTGCATGTAAAACGATGACTGTCTTACTGATAGCAGCCGATCAGATCTTTCCAACAGATGCAAAAAATATTCTTTAAGTTTAGTCACAATTTCGATTATTTTAAAAAACGGGAAATGGTTCATTGTGTACAAGAGGTATTACACAATGAACCATGCTATTTTTAATAATGAACTACATGTTTTATCTGCGAATTGTTGGGATTATTTTAGTTTTGCTATATTTTAAAATGTTTATTTATAAAATAGGTAATTATAAGGTGGTGAGGATTCACAAGGCCGACTACCGCGTTTTTCTTTCGTTTTGAGTGAAAACGCGTCAAATGAGTATATTTTTATTGAGATTTTAGATGGGAGGAGGGGCCCTATCCTAAATAATTATTACAATGGATTATTATTTTGAAGGTTATCATAAAAAAGGTTATGTGGTCTACAATGTACCATGTTCATTGTTTACTACGTCAAAATGATTCATTTTAGACCACCTAACCTTTTCCACGATAACTTCCTAAATAATGTAGTAAAATAATGTAACAGAAAAAGTTCCTTACACAATAATAAAGCCAAGTGTGCACACAAAACTATTGCACAATGAAAAAAATGATAAATGTAACAACAAAAACATAAAAAATACTTAAAACTTACAAAAAAAATTTACTTTGCAACCCAAAATTCTTAAAATATGACATTACATGGCCGTCCTTGGCGCGATCTGCCAGTCGACTGAGAAGTCAAGGAGGGATTCAAATGCGAGTTTCTGCATGATAGCAGCACAATCTAATAAAGTCGCATTTACGAAATATCGCAATGGTTCATAGTGTACTACTGGTTGGACTACCTACCCTACTCAATACTGCACTCTCTTATTGCAGTTTTTATATATATTTTTGATTATAAATATTTTACTTTCGCAAACACTAAATGCTAAATATGGCGTTTTCAGGAAAAAAAAAATAAAAATGTTGATATACGTGGAAGATTATACATTTATGAAATATTCCGACTGTATTTTCATACACTAAGAGAAAAATGTTTTGTATTTGTAACTATAATTGTATATTACTATAATTATGATTATTACTGCTACAATAATAATAACAGTAACTATGTATATAATTCTAGCAATAAATTGGTATATAGTTCGCAACCTAAAATGACTATAATTATAGTTATTATAACCATAAAATAGTTGAAATTATCATAAGAATGATTCAAGTGACTATAATTTTATAGTTATACAATCATATTTTTAATGGTTGTCCCAAAATAACTATAAAATTATAGTCACTTGAATCATTTATATGGTAATTTCAACTATTTTATGTGGTTATAATAACTATAATTATAGTCATTTTAGATTGCCAACTATATACATTCGTATAAAATATTTTATTTTTAAACATTTTTAATTATATTATTATATTAACTATATTAATTATATCAACTATATTATTCTAAAATTTTTATTTAGAAGAGGATTTCGTTTACCCACAAAATAATTGCTTACAACTTCGTATATACACACGTATTGCACACAGCGCATTGTATACATGACGTATGGCGTATTGTACACAACACATTGCACACACGATTACATCACGTACCTACGTGACCGTGTGTTGCACACACGTCCATGCTGCTTACGTGCACATTGTAAATTCTCTTCATGTGGGAAGTTGTAAACCCATATCGAATCATAGAATGGACCTCGTTTTGTACCGGGCAATGTGATGGATCTCAAATCTAACCCATGTAAAACCGCACTTCGAATAAAAAGTTGAAAATCTTGCATATAAAATACCGCACAATTATAAACGTTCTTTATTACAATGTGCATGTATACGAGATAATCATGTGCATAATCCGATCATATGCGCGACACAGTCATGTGTGCAACATGGTTATGTGCATTCAAAACTGCAGTAAGGAATCGTTTTGTTAACGGAATCTCCCCGATTCACTGTCCGATCTTTTTTAATCGAATGTTCTTGGAAATTTTTCCGAATACTGACTCATATAATAATTTTAAATTCCAACGTGGAGTTAAAGAAACGCAGTATTATCCTCATAATGGATTTATTGTACCCACCTATAGCCTACATTGCACTATCCATCTATTTCCTTAATATGAAACATCAAATCTTCCCTTTTCTCAAAATTATATACAAAGGTCTCGAGCGTGAAATCCTTATTTCCAATACAGGGTATCATTTCAGTGAAACATATGTTACTTTCTGAACACCTACTTCCTATCGCAGACAGGATATACACCTATAAAATTACTATGTAGAGTACAATGAAGAACGCTACTGCGCGTTGAAAGTCTATAAGTTAAAACTGTTTTACTGAAGTCTGTATAGCAATATATAAAACTACATTATATAGAATAATAAACAGATTAAGTAATATAGTATAGAGTTTCTCGGTAATATGTGAATAGATACATGTTGTATCCGGGAAATCTTTTTTTAATCAACCTCTTACCTACTGATATTTAGAATGTCTAAACACCCTAAATACGTAACATTTTTTAAAAATTATACAGAAATCTTACTATGCATACATATTTTTTTTAAAGCTTTTATAGGTAGAGAACGTTACTCCTTATTCAAACACGCAACCTAGCCGTTTTTCACATACATCGTATTATCACGTCATGATAATTTTATTTACGTATACCCCACGCGAAACGGAAAAACGCAAGAATACATGTTCTCCTACAGTAACTCCCCTTTACAATAACACCCTTTCATCATATTATTGCAAATACATGGAAGGTATCCATTACGCAACGGCTCGCAAAAGAGTTTCCATTTCCTATAATATCAACTTGCAATACATTTATAACATACGTAGCATACTTCAGTCATGCGAAGAAAAGTGATGCTAAAAGAAGTGGTTTCTGTCGTGAAGTTAAGTGTGTTCACAACTTGGTGTTGGCCCTTGCCACAAGATGCGACAAAATTTAAAATGTTTTGTATGACATTATATCATTATTTGATAATAATTGTAACGACAGGTCTACAATTACCATTGATATACGGTATCATAAATCATCTTGATGATCCTCCTGCGTTAGTGAACCAAGTTGTTATATTAAGTGGCATCACTCACTCGTCTCTTAACTTTATTTTTTATTCAACTCATTATCATCATATACAGGTAATTAATATTTAACGTTAAAAAATTTACGTACAAATTAATTAAAAATTCACATTTTAATACTACATTCTATATGTATCAATTATGTCAAGTAATTATTGCAGATTGCTACTATGGAAATAGTAAATTTTTGCAACGTAATGAAACCTCATGAAGAAGTTGTGATTCAACGATACATTGACAAATGTATTGTATTTCATGGTATATCTTTGGTTACTTTCTACTGGTGTGCATTCGTAACTATTGTATTAATACCTCCTTTAATGCATCAACCATTTCCATCATTGGCCGAATATCCATTTGATGTATCTTATCAACCAGTAAAAACAATAATTTTTATACAACAATCTATGGTCGGAATAATAGTAGCAGGACAACTAAGTTTGAATGTTTATATGGCAATGTTGCTTTGGTTTGCATCCGCAAGATTTGAGATATTGACTGAAGAATTAAAAAAAACTACAAATGTCTATCAGTTGTTTGAATGTATTAAAAAACATCAAAAGTTACTGATGTAAATATTACAAACATTATCTTACGTAAGAATAATCTAGTTAGAAAGATTTAAATAATCCTGTCGTATGCATTTATTCAGTTACGCAAAGGAAGTTTCAAATGCAGCTTGTCCTTTCGCATTTACAACTATATGTTGTAGCACGATTAGCTTAATAATAGTCTGTCTTTTGCTCATTAGTGTAAGTATATGTAATATTATAAAAATACATTATTTTTTATACTTGAATATATTTTCTTCTAAATTTGTACATAAATCAGGGCTCACCAGGGCTGAATAAAATGCTTTTCAAATTCCATTTAAAACACTAATTGTAAAATACTTTTAAAAAGTGTATTTAAAATGCATAGATTTTTCGAATCCATTTTAAATGTAAAATGGATAAATAGATATTTTAAATAGTTTTCAAATGCAAAATGATTTTTCCTGCCTTAGCAAAAAAAAAATTTTTATAAAAAAAGTACAAAAAAACTATATAGATTAAGACAAGATCTTAGAAATTTTTTAATTTTCGTAGTGGGACTACGATAAAGTGAGGTTTGTTTATCTCAGAAATCCATAGTTTTTCGTAGATATTTGTAGCGAAATATAGAGTAACGTTGTTTGAGAGCGGAGGATTTCTTGGTTTTTCAAACAAACAAGGCTACTCTACGTCCCACTACGAATATCTACGAAAAACTAAGAATTTCTAAGATCTTGTTTCAATCTATGTAGTTTTTCGTAAAAACTTTTCGCCAGGGTGGTATACGTTTTTTAAAAGTATTTTACGTTTGAAATCTATTTTTAACGGAATTCGAAGTCCTAATTACAGTATTATAAATAAAGTATTTGTGACGAAAATATTTAAAATTTTTTAATATTTATATGATTTGGAAATGGGACCGTTTTATACTTGAATAAATCAAATTAATACTAGAAGCGTCGGTTACGGTCAAAATTAGATGTTAAGAGTAATATACAATACATTTTTAGAAATCCATATAGTATTTACATAAACCTGAAACATTCATATTTTTAATTAAGATTTGATATTTATGGACTATCTGGAATTAATTTTCTTTTTACAGTTTAATTTGCAGTTTGTTTAAATATTCATAAAAATCTTTGGCCAATCATGAGACTTGGTCCTTCTTATACATCAATGATTCTAGAGAAAATTTATGAAAATATAGAAAAACCATTTGGCATTTATCTATTTTATAAATAGTTAAATGATAGACATGATTCTATTTCAAATGTAAAATGAAAATGATTTTCCAAAAACCATTTAAAATGGAAAATGCAAAATGCCACTTCCATTTTAAATACATATTTAAAATGGAACTATTTTAAATATTACCCAGCCCTGGGAGTCACGGTAGTATCTCGGCGCTAAGCAATCGCAGCAACACTACCGTGTTCCTTTACATGAGACCGCAAGTTGCGGGGGACTGAGGTGTATAAATATCATGGTCATCAAATATTCTTGAAAAATCAAAGATGATTTAGAGATTATGGTACATATACACAATTTTATCGTATCCTTCCATCGTATCCTTCATCATAATATTTTTATGTACAGTACCGCTCAAAATTGTATCACCTTTCGATTTTTTGAGCATAATTTTTGTCAAAGTGAATCGAGTGCGCTCAAATTTTTACAGTAGACACTTGGTGGCAGGTGTACCTTGTATGTAAAGTATGATGAGATTTGACAATGTATACCGTGATTTTTTAATTTTTTACTAATTTTCTCAAAATCGCATTATACTTTCTTTACTTTTTATGATACAGCCGTAGTTTTTACCGTCATGACCTAACTGTAGTAGTTAGATTCACCGTTTTTCATCACAATAAATACTCGTAGTGTTCAAGATATAAATGAGCGACAACAGAAAACCATCGTAAAAAGCCACAAACAAGGATGGACGTACAGAAGAAGCTCGCTCAGCAATTTGACATCTCGAAATCAATAGACCAAGTTAGCGTTGAAAAGTCTAGCGAAGCTATGTTAAGGAGAAGAAGAATGGCTGACCACATTACACTACTTTTCTTGTCGATCGCAACATCCTTCGCATGCAGCAACTCACATCGTACGACGCTGGGCATTGATGAGAAAATATCAACTTCAGAACAATCTGATCCGTCCGTACATATCATACGCCATCGCCTGCAAGCAGGAAGAATGTGTAAACGGCGACCCATGAAGAAATCATTCATTGCCACAAAGAATTTGAAGGCGCGAGTGGAGTGAGCCAAAGCACACCTCAACTAGACAACTCAGCAATGATCTGACGTCTTCTGGAACGACAAATCAATGTTATACCATCATTATCAAACAACATGAACTTATTTTTGTTACTCTGTATGATCTGTACGGACGGATCAGATTATTCTGAAGTCGATATTTTTTCATCAATGCCCGGCGTCGTACGATGTGAGTTGCTGTAAGATATGCAAAGAATGTTGCGATCGACAAAAAAAGTAGTGTAATGTGGTCAGCCATTCTTTTTCTCCTTAGCATAGCTTCGCTAGACTTTTCAACGCTTAAGAACTTGATCTATTGATTTGGAGATGCCAAATTGCTAAGTGAGCTTCTTCTGTATGTCCATCCTTGTTTATGGCTCTTTACGATGGCTTTCTGTTGTCATTCATTTATATCTTGAACACCACGAGTATTTGTCATGATGTAAAACGGTGAATCTAACTACTACAGGTCATGACGGTAAAAACTACGACTGTATCATGAAAAGTAAAGAAAGTACAATAATGTGATTTTAGGAAAATTAGTAAAAAATTAAAAAATCACGTATACATTGTCAAATCTCATTATACTTTACATACAAGGTACACCTGCCACCAAGTGTCTACTGTAAAAATTTGAGCACATTCGATTCACTTTGATAAAAGTTATGTTCAAAAAATCGAAAAGTAATATAATTTTGAGCGGTACTGTACTTATGTAAAAAGGAAGGCATTACCATTACCTCAAAAAATTTAGTGTATAAGAGCATTAACATGAAATGATGTGTCAATCAATTTTTTTAAACAGCATCAACCTACAGCAATAATACTCCAGTTTTCATTCGTGGGTATAACAGGTATAGCAGAAGTATTTTTGTATACTTGGCCAGCAGAACATTTGATGTATATGGTAAATAACTTATTATCTTTTGTTATAATATAATTAACTTTATTTTAAAAAATGTTTATTATGTAACTAGAGTAAAGACGTCGCACAAACAGCGTTTTATATGCTCAAAGACATTCATTTAATTGAAGTATGGAAATGTTTGCAAATTATTATAATGAGAAGTCAAAAACCAATAATAGTGTCAATACCTTGCTTTCTGCCCGAATTATCTCTCAGTTACTTTACATCGGTAAGATCAAGTTCTAAGTTAATTTAAAAAATTGATTAAGTTTGATAATACATTATTTATATTAATTATTTGACATTATTACATAATTCTCTCCCTCTCTCTCGCTCTTTCTTTATGTATATGTATATATAAATATATATATATATATATATATACATATATATTTGAGACAATTTTCGTGTACCGATAGTATGACTACACTAAGTCGAAAACTCTTCTATCATTTTGTAATTTTCGCAATAGTTAACAAGATATTAATTTCTGAACCCGCACAAACAAACATCGCTGCTGAAACGGTAAATCTCTTACCTTACTACATGTCCGCGCTTATAAGCCATTCTTCAAAAAATAATATTTTATTACCATTGCGAAAATTACAAAATGGTAGAGAACTTTTCGATTCAATTTAATTCATTCTACCTGATCACAAGAGATAATGCGATTATTATCGGACAACCTGTATATGTATATATGTATGTATATTATATATATATATATATATACATACATAAATGTATATTTGTATTAAATGTATAATTTATATTTATATAAAATTATATATGTATATATTAATATATTACATATATTTTAATTATGCTTTTAAAAATTAATTTTTAATTTAATAATCATATAAATATCATTTTTTATATATTATCTTTATATTTTATAAAAAATTCACTTTTTTTATTAACGCAAATGCAATTTAACTATATTTATTATTATATGTTGCAGTATCTTTCAACTATACTCTCTTATTTTACAACCTTGCGAGTAATGATGGACGATGATAATAATAATTAAATATAAACACAATCGAAATACTTGCTTTAAACCATTAACGTTTGCACAAAACAAAGCTTTTGTAGTTATATTGTATAGTATAGTTACACTAAAATATATAAATATGATATTTCAAAAAATTGTATTATTTGATTAAAAAATAATAATAAATTAAAATTATTGTTATTGATCATAGTAGTTATCATAGAATTAATAATAAATATTACTTTAGAAATTATCGCACTATTTGATAGATGGTTTGATGTAGTATTTACCGCATTTCAATTGTCACTACTTGCTATTATTTTGAAAACAATAAAAATTGAAAATATATTATAATTCTATATTATAAAAATTAACACTACAATAATAATTTTGACATATAATTTCTTGAGTAAAATACTAGAAGTAGCATTAATTTTTTTAACAAATTAGTTTTACAATTATTACTGAAAAGAAGTTCATCGATAATTTACTTTAATTTTCCTTTGATCTCATTCTTGTACTACAATAATTCACACAGTTAATCATAAAATCATAAACAAAAATATTCAAAATATTAAAAAATAATTAAAATAATATTTACTCTAAAATATATATTAATCATTTTCAAACAAAAGTAAAAACTAATTGAAAACTTAAAGCATATAATCATAATTATTACAGAGTATTATGTATATAAACTGACTTGCTTAATTAGAAATTAAGAACTCTTATGCTTATTATGATATGAAGGATTAATGTGAATATATGGCAAAGAGGTTATATACTGTTAAAAAAAACAGAAATTTGCTTCCGTTATATGTAATGGAAGCAAATTTCAAGCAGACACATTAAAATATTTAATATTGTCAATGAAAATAAAGTTACAAGTAACTTAAATTTAACATTTACTTACATTAAATTTTATGTAAATTACATAAAATTTATTAATATACATACAATTTAATTAAAAATGTACCAACTTCATAAAATGTTATGAATTAAAAATACATTAAATTTCGTGACATTTTTAACAGTATAGGTGGATGGCTGCACATGAGGCACGACAAGCCGGCTTTAGAGAGCCTCACAGGGAGAAAGTGAATTGCCCTCTCTCCCTGTGAGGCTCTCTAGGGCCGCGGCCTGTCGTGCCTCACGTGCAGCCATCTATACCTCTCTGCGTATACCCCACACTACACATTCACACAACATCCTCCTTTTTAATTAAAGTCTCTTTTTTCTTAATACAATACAGATAAGAAAAATAAATATTATATGAATAAAAGAAAAAGCTTAAAAAAAAGAAAAATATATACATGAATATCGTATAAATTGAGAGGAATTTGAACTCAAAAGGTGAAGCAATCACGGAAGACCTTACTGGGTGCCCTGGTTCGCACTGATCTCTGAGGTTCGTTAATCTTCTGCGACCTATTGCCCCTTTCTTCTCTAACAGGGGTACCATTCGTGTCCTGTTCAACATTGCTCGCACCTCGTTCGTTCAAGGCTTGTTCATCATTATTGTCTAACTGCGCAGAAATTTGTTCGTCATTATTGTCTAACTGCGCGGGAACATTGTCGCTCGCATCGCTCGCATCGCTCTCATCGCTCTCATCGCTCGCATCGCTCTCATCGCTCGCATCGCTCGCATCGCTCGCATCTCGTTCGTTCAAGGCTTGTTCATCATTATTGTCTAACTGCGCGGGAACATTGTCATCACCTATTAACACTTGAGTGTAGTTGTGTTCTATCTCTATTTTTCGTTTATATGATGAGTGTCCGCGGCACTTTCTACGCACCGCACTATCCTTTTCTGTTTTCATAATATAGGAATTTGGATTCTTGTCTGGCTTTATAATTTTTGCGTTTATGCATAAATCCGTCACACAAACGCTATTATTTGTTCCTAACATAGACACAGCTTTTGATCGATGTATTGTATTATAATTACGTTCTTGCTTATCCTTTTTTTCGGTTTCTTTCTTCAAAATCTTGTTATATTCGTTAAACGATCCTAGCTTACTGGGTAATATTGGCAAATAACAGAGGATTTTCCTTGAAGATAAAAGTTCCTTCGATTGCATTTCTGCTTGGCGAGCTATTTCAAGCGCTTTATTCACGGTCAGATCATTTATTAGTCGCAATCTTTCTGAAACTCGAGCATCTCGAACGCCTGTTACTATCCGATCGCGAATCAGTTCGCTCTCGATAGCGCCATACTCACATGTTTCCGCTAGTGAATACAATGCCGTAACGAATGAGTCAACACTTTCTTCCGCTTCTTGTACACGGGAATTGAATTTGTATCTCTGGAAAACAACATTCCTCTTTGAACTAAAATATGAGTCGAGTCTATTCTTGACCATGTCGAATGTGGTGGATGATGTCGTCGGCACAACTTGAGTTAATATTTCCACCGATTTTTCACCCATCAAATAGCATAACAGGTCTAGCTTTTTTTCATCCTCTACCAACTTGTTCATTGACAAATATCTCTCGAAATGATTGATCCATTTCGGCCACAGTTCTGGCATGCCGAAATCAAATTCTCCTGGTGCTTCGATATTCACCGCGAAAGCCATGTTTCAAGGTTACGTTGTAACGGTGTTCTGTTCCTCTTAAGTCTCTTCTCGTAAGTATTATACTATTGTTCACGGGATCCACTTCTGACACTAAGTGTCGGGATAGCTCGGCAGAGTCGATATCGCTAATTAAGAATAGGTTTATTATAATTAATGCGTGATAATTAATTAGAATACAAGCTGCATCTCCGATTTTGATGAAATTAGACTCATTCGACGCGTCCCGGTAAAAAATTTTTCATGCATGAATATGTATAAATATGTATAAACATAAACACGCATAAATATTCATAGATGTGTATAATTATATACGAAATATGTCAATACATGTTCTTACATCCTTCTTTCTTTTGTAAAATTATTGTTTAGTGAAATAGAAATAATAATGGTAATACAGGGTGCGGCGCCAAAATCCGGACAAATTTCAAGTTGAAATTCCCTCCGTTCAATATCATTGGTAGATGTCGCGATTGGCATTCAAATAGCTTGACGCATGTACTAAACCATCATAACCTCGAAACAGTCGCAATGTTGAAACCAAGTGCGGAGTATAACCGAAGAGCCGCGATTATCGAAAGTATTCGCGCCGGGCGCTCAGCGACAGAAATCATTCGGTTCTTCGGGTATCCGAGATCGAATGTATGATGTCTTCGCAAAGTACCATGAGTCGGAGAAGTCCAACGAAGGTTCTGCAACACCGGCGAGGAAATTCCACTCGAAGGAGCGCGTTGTCAGGACGCCCGACATCATTCAACGGGCTCAGGAGCTGATTTTTGAGGATCCAGGGCAATCGATCCGAAAATTGTCATCGGTTGTCGGTTATGGATGGAAACTGTGTCGTCTGGAAAGCCATATGTTTTCTAGCAGGACGGTGTGCCCGCCCACACAAGTCATTTGGTGCAAAATTGGTTGTCGGACAACGTCGACATATTTTGGTCGAAAGAATTCTGGCCTCCCAACAGCCCAGATTTGAATCCTTTGGACTTCTACGTATGGGGCGTAGTTGAAAGGGTCACGAACAAGTCCAGACATCCAAACGTCGCATCATTGAGAGCCGCTATTGAAGCGGGATTCATCGATATGGACCGTGACACATTAAAGCGTGCCTGCGCACGCTTCAGACCGAGAATAGAGGCGGTCATTCAAGCAAGCGGGAGATATATTGAGTGAATATGTTCTTTATGGCCTTACAAACAACGGAGGTAAACAAATTTTGTAAACCTTTTCATTGTAGCAATAAAACATATGTTTAGAAAAAATGTATAATTTGTCCGGATTTTGGCGCCGCACCCTGTACACCACTACGCAAGGTCTTATGTGCGAAACAATATATATGTATAGATTTATTAAATATAAAAACAATAATTTCAAAATATATTATAAACGTTTCGGTCTTAATTGGACCATCTTCAGTATACATATATAATAAATTAATTAATTTAACAAGATGTTATCGCAATTAGATTGACAAATTAATTCAAACAATTAGAATGACAGATTAATTAAAACAAAAGCGTAACAGATTTTTATATTACATACCTGCATCGAGAATTTTAGCCAAAAAATCAGATTTGTTAAAAGAAAAGGTTGTCCTGGTTATAGATAACGATAACAAAATGTGCTCCCTACAATGAGGGGGGACCCTAGCCTGTCGGAGACATTCTTAGTATATGTATAAGCATTGACTCATTGTAGGGAGCACATTTTTTTATCGTTATCTATAACCAGGACAATCTTTTTTTTTAACAAATCTGATTATTTGGCTAAAATTCTCGATGCAGGTATATATAATAATATAAGAATCTGTTACGCTTTTCTTAACGATTGGATATAATAGAGAAAGAAATTGCTTTATTTCTTAGAATCTGGTAATTTTTTTATGCGTTTGAGCTCTTAGTCACTCTTTTCAAATTATGGATACATCGAATATAATCTGTCAAAGGACGAATTTATATAATCCGTATATAACTGTCGTTGTAACAAGCGTTTTTCACGTCAATTTTTATTGGAGCTGACAAAACTCTAGTCTCAATTTAAGGCATCTGTCAATCTAATTGCGATAACATTTTTGTTTTAATTAATCTGTCAATCTAATTGTTTGAATTAATCTGTCAATCTAATTGCGGTAACATCTTGTTAAATTAATTAATTTATTATATGTATATTGAAGATAGTCTAATTAAGACCGAAACGTTTATAATATATTTTGAAATTGTTCTTTTTATGTTTCCTAAATCTATGTATATATTGTTCCGCACATAAGATCTTGCGTAGTGGTGTATGCTCTTTGTAATATTGTTTTTAAATTTTAGCTACTTAAATTTGTTAATAATGGTAATGTGAAAACATTAAAAATAATTAAAGGGATAATTTTCGCATTGTTTATTTTAGAAAAAAACAAGCTTGGAAAAATATAAAAAAAACTGCTCATACATAATTACGCATAATTTTATATACAATAATTATACATAAGTAATTTGTTTACATTTTTTAAACTGGATTTTTTCCAAAACAAATAGTGCGAAAATTACCCCTTTAATTATTTTTAATGTTTTCACATTACTATTATTATTTCTATTATACTAAAAAATAATTTTACACACACACAAAAGAAAGATGGATGTATGAACATGTATAGACATATTTCATATATAATTATACATATGTTTATAAATATTTATACCTGTTTATGTATGTTTATACATATTTATATATATTCATGCATGAATAATTTTTTATCGGGTGTTTTTGCTCGAAATGAAAGAATCTGTAAGAAAAAACGTTGGATCGGGCCCTAAACCGAGATATTAAACGTTAAAGTTGACGACGATTGAGATTAGGAAATCTGTCATATCGACGAGATGCGCAGCGTACTTAAGGGAAAAATAACAGTAAAATAAACAGTTCTTTAGAATATAATTCTTTGTTTTAAAAACATAAAAATTATATAAGAAAATAATTTGTGTTTTTAAACTACAGATTATGTAATTTTAAAGTACAGATTTACAATCATATTCTCTGCTTTACAAACACAAAACCTGTACTTTAAAAACACAAGTTATTTTTTTATATAATTTTTATGTTTTTAAAGCAGAGATTTGTATTCTAAAGAAATGCTTTTTTTACCCTTTACTGTTATTTTTCCCTTGTACGCTGCACCTCATCGATATGACAGATTTCCTAACCTAAATAGTCATCAACTTTAACGCTTAATATCTCGATTCCCGGGCCGTCTTAACGTTTTTTCTTATAAAAATTCTTTCATTTCAAGCAATAACGCGTCGAATGAGCCTAATTTCATCAAAATTGGAGGTGCAATCCATATTCTTTAAATCTGAATCAGTGAATAATCACTGTAATAATCAATGCCAAGTATACCACTGGTAATCAGTGAATGAAATGTGAGATCCCTAACTTGTCTAATTTTTATTATGTGATCTAACTAATCTTGTTTTAATGCATAAATTAATAAATATGATATTGGAATATTGAAATTAACATGCACAAATATCAGTATTTTAATTATATAATGTTCAAATATTCTTCCTTTTTTTTATTAAACTTCATTGATTATCCAGTGCCAAGTATGCCGCTGGGTAATTAATGGTTATCCACTGATTTAGATGTATAGAGAGTATTCTAAATAATTACCACTAATACTCTTGTACGAAACGTGGGCCGGCCTAACGTGCCTCGTCATCTATCTAGTCTCTCTGCGCATGCCCCACACTACATGTTCACACAATAGCGACACTCCCAATAAATGGGCGCATAGTTGAACAGGCTAGCCTGTTCATCAACACAGTCGACGCTTCTACATTGAACAATGAATCTCTCTTATATGCAACATTTTGTAACTCGTTAATATGTTAAAAATTATTGTCAAATTTTAAAAAATAATAACTACGACAACAATATGTATCTTGTCATTTTGACAGTTAAATAATGATTGCTAAACAAGTAACATAGCAATCAATTTGAAGACAAACAAGCTTATGACATGTATTATATTACGAACAAGCCTTAAAGTTTATTGAAAATCTTAATAAACGCATGATTTAAACCAATGGTATCATGTTGTAGATTCATCCCATTGGTCTGTTGATTAACATGCATCATTTCCGATATTAACTTTTTATTATAATAATTCTCTACATCCAAAATCTCTACGTTTTGTCAATTAAAGTCATGATCGTTTTGCAACCTATACTCTGTAATCACTGAATGAGTGGATGTTTGGCTATGGATATGTTTTTTGTGTTCAGAAATTCTGGTTTTTAATTTTCTCCCTGTTTGTCCCACATAGGAAGCATCGCAATCACAACAATTGATCTTGTAGACTACATTCCTTTTTAATTCATTGTTTAAAGAATCTTTATAAACTTTAATAAACTGATTCAACATTGCAAACTATACCACGTTAGATTTGAAATGCTTCCAAATATTTCATGTACTTATACCGACGATTAATTAATAATGTAATGTCTGCAACATTTATAACATATTTATATATTGTAATTCGAATTTCTAATAAAAAAAGTAAAAAGGGAAAAAAATCTTTTCATAATCTTAATAGAAAATTTTTTAATAAATTGAACTTAATATTAACTCCGTTGTAATTCGAACTTTTATACAATGTATCCAGTACAGTAAGGTCGATCCGATCCCACATGTTTATTTTTCATATAATTAATGTACAAAATGAGTGAAAGAAAAGGCGTGTTCAGATTCCCACCTGAGTGCTCCCCGGGTCCAATGTCATCTAACGCAGAGAGAATCAAGGGAGAGTGGAGCGGATAGCGTTCTCTTCTGTAATTGGTTCCATCATTTATCCGCTCACTTCCGCAAATGTGCATGTGTGCATGTACGTATATGTACATACACACAATACTAGTGCAGTACAATAGTGTGTGCAGCACCGTATGTTCCATCACGCTTCTACCATATCTCCTACTCACTTTAACGAATGGCGGACGAATGGCAGCTTCCGGCTGAATCCACTCCACTCTTCCTTGATTTTCTCTGATCTAACATATGATAAACAACAAGGATGAAGTGATACCTCGGTGACAATCGAGTGAGAATTTGAACTCAACAAAAATAAACGAACCATCATTTTTGTCCCAACCTTACCAACGGAAGGTTAAACACACATGTGTTCAATCAAAAACTAAATATTTTTAATGTATTGGAAATCTTGATGTATACGTATATACAAATGTATATATACATAAAATATTTTTTTTATCTTACTTTATAATTTTTTCTTTTGGAAAATACGTTTAAACAATGATGTGAGTACCGCATAAATTAAATCTAATGGACAATGTCCATTAATAAAATAATTTTTTAGCACTACAATTGTTGCGAATACACGTTCTGTCTCTTATATTTATTAAAAGTAATTATGTCATTAATCATTAATGATTATATTATCATCGCTGATAATATAATCATTTAATGCGATCTGTAAATATAATGTAAAGACTGTCAATGCACTACGTATGTCATATGCATTGCGTTATTTTTCATTTATCAACAATAATTATACTCTCACCCTATCTCTCACACTTACTAAAACATTGAAATTCATAATGTAGTTATCTCTCTTAACACAACAATTACGCAGATTACATAAAGACATAGTGCGTGGTTCTTATATAATTCAGAGTAGAAATATAAGTGTTACGGAACTACGTCGGGGTAAAATACACACCAGTCGTATAATTTATTAATCCGCAAGATTGCACTATAAACACAAAGGAGAGAGGAAAATGAACAGAAGAAATAATAAACGTAATATTCTGTCTGAGATACTAAGCGTTACCATAATGTGCGTAATGTTGCATTATTCAAAAGTTCTTACCCTATAGTTGTATGAAATTCTTCATAAAATTGTGAGAAAAGCACAGAAATATTAACGATTGAAATACTCTTGAGTGAAGGAGTACGACGGCTTTCCGTCTAACATGAAAATCGCACCGACTTTAGACAGAGTTATTGCTTTTCTGAAGATAGATTTACTATTCGCTTGTTGTTGGCCTCTACCGCGAACTGCTACAAAGTTTCAAATTATTTGTGATAGAATATTTCGGTATCTATCCATGGTGAATGGTGCATTTATGATTGTTGAGATAATATATTCAATTAGTAATCATTTAGACAATGTTTTATTGCTTATGCAATTAGCTTGTGCGTTGGGCATCTTTTGTGAAGTTCCATTGCAAATATTTTTATTTACGAAACAGCACGATCGTTTACAAGTAAGACAAAAATTAATTATTTTTATCATGTCGACTGAATATAATGTAACAAATGACACATAAAACACATTATTTTCTACCAAACAACCCATAAACCCATACTTAAATATAAAATTTTATGCAATGTAATATTGAAGTTGATGTGTAAATAAATTAAATCTTAATAAATTTACAGAATGTAATTTGCGAGATGGAAGATTATTACAAGCAAGCTAATACTGAAGAAAAAGACGTATTTCAACAATACATTAACAAATATATTTTATTTTATGGAACTACGTTGACATTAACTACTGCCATAACTTTCGCCGGTTGTCTCATAGTGCCATTAATTCGGTCTCGCAGGTTTCCGCTAGAAATAGAATATCCATTTCGCGTTGATTATCAACCAATAACGGCGATGCTCTATTTTCATCAAGTACTCGGTATGTATCAGGTTACTTGTCAAGTGAGCGCAAATGTTTTCCTCGCTCTTCTAATATGGTTCACAACGGCTCGCTTTGAGATCTTGACAAACAAATTTCGCACAGTCACCAAGTATTCTGATTGGAAAACATGCATACAAGAGCATCAAGTAACTCTAAGGTATTAAAAAAATACAGATTAACTTTAGAACCAAATAAAATTATCACATTTCTTTATTACAAAGTTTATTCCTCATATAAATGAATTGATAAAATTTTTTTCGAAGCGTCAAAATTTCCGCCTAAACCTCAATTTTTTGATGCCGTATGGTGTTTTTTATTTCCTTCTTATGGGTGTGACCATACGTTAAAAATAATGCTCAGTGTTGCGTACGAGGCCCTCGAGTACCCCCGTGACCCCAACAACCGGCGACGAATAAGCCGCGACAATAACATCGGGTAAAACTAAAATCGAGGGTGTACGTGATCTTAGCTGATCTCATGAACTTTTAAAAGACATATCTAGGTCGCGAGTATCTTTTATCCTAATTAAATCATTAAAAAAAAAGCTGTCTAAACGTTATTTTTGCATTTTTCAAGTATTTTGGTAAGTCTGAGCATTATTTTTAACGTATGGTCACACCCATAAAAAGGAAATAAAAAACACCATACGGCATCAAAAAATTGAGGTTTAGGCGGAAATTTTGACGCTTCGAAAAAAATTTTATCTTTAAAAATAAAATGCGCAGGCGGGTGGCTGATTTGAGAAAGAATGCCCCATATATATAATTCAAAATTATAATTAAATTCTTCCTAACAGATTTGCAAAAGAAATGAGTAGTTCTATCGCACTCGTAGTGTTATCATCGCTCGGCGTTAGTACTATAGCGCTGATATTCGGTGGAGTTACATTCCTAAGCGTACGTATATTTGTTGTTTATTGTAATACAATTATTATACAACACTACTGAATAATTTCTGTTTGAATTTCTCATTAAAAAATTTTTGTTAAATAGCGATTTCCGCCATCCGTAAAAATTCAGTATATAATTGTATGTTTAACATCATTAGTAAAAGTATTTCTGTGCGCTTGGCCGGCTGACCATCTAATGAGAATAGTAAGTCTAAAAAAAATCACCTAAAACTGGATATTGTGACAAATAAAATATAAATAAAATATACGTATACATTTTTTAAATATATATTTTAGAGTTCTAATGTTGCTGAGGCAGCCTATGATTCATTATGGTATAGTCAAAACATTGAATCTCAAAAGATTATGTTGCATACTTTGCTACGATGCCAACGAGCTGTAGTTATATCTGTTCCTGGTTTACTAAAAGCTTTAACATTTCAACAATATACTTCGGTATGAGAACGCCTTGCACTGCCTTACAGTGTCAATCTCTATAATTATACAAAGTATAACGTAATTTATGGTACAATGAAGAAAGTACATATTTCCACTACAAAAACATAAAATACAAAAACATAAAAAATAACATTTTACGATTGTCGTTAAAAATATGTTCGAAAACGTCTATTGCAAAATTTTTAACATCTGTAAAAATTAGCGTTTTTAAAAACGTTAAGATAGTATTGGTATTTTAACCTTTTGTACAGCTTCTCGAAACTTAGATTTATATTAAAATCTTTTTTAATATTTTTTATTTTACAATTATGTAAAATAAAAATTGTTTTTTTCCAATTGTACCATGAATTACAACATATGTACATACATGGCAGTAATACATTAAGTATCATATTAGCCAGGTATCCATTACCTCATCCTTTACAAGTTTTTTACACATTCATTGATTTTTCAGTATGTTTCAACAGCATTTTCTTACTTAACAACGTTTCGCATAATTCTTTCTGAAGAAACATAAAGCCAAGAAAAAAAAAATAAGTTTCATGGAAAGGAACACGCAACTTTGTCTACATAAATACGGAAGAATATATCGGACTTAAAAAATAAAAAGTATATATTAATATTACAATTCTGCAGATTTATTAATTATTATAATTTGCATAATTTTAATCCTGACAGATTCCAGCTCTTAATTCAGTTTTATGAGTATTCAAATTTTTGGGATATAGAAAGATGACTTCTTTCTATGCAAATATTTAGTAACAATTACAAGACGGTATTTGTATATTTATCCACGTTATACGTTTTGCACTATGAAATTTGTTTATTTAAAGTTTAAAGAATATAACAATAATTATTACCGATGTGAGTATTAACATTAACATTTTATTTTAATGTAATATATGTATCAAAACATAATATAAATTCATTTCTGTACCTTGTTATATTGTGATTTTTGTTTTAGAAAATTATTAAACGTCAAGAGATTAATTAAACTGATTTAATTAGAACTATTATAGTAAAAAACAGAATCAACATGAATATATTATTAGGTATTAAGTATTTTTCCTCTATTATATATTTTATAGAGCAAAATACGTTAATAGATAAAAAATATATTTATAACTCTTTGCATAACTGATTTTTGGAAGTTTATGTATGGGCCTGACCAATTCATTATTTAATAGATATGATAATTTGTATTTTAATGGCATATTTATATTCAAATCAGCGTGGCCTTTTGAATATAAATATGCTATTACAATACAATCTATCACATTTATTTACTTAACCATGGATTTGGTTAAATAATGCCCATGGGCATGAAATCTATAATTCAAAGAAGATAACTATAACTGTATATTCATCATCGAGTTCCGGATCATTTATACATATACAATTGTTTCTTTCCATTATTAAACAAATTAATATATCAAATTTATTATGTCAAATTGTTATAATTTCTTATAGTGAAAATTAACACTTTATTTTTATGTCACATATTTATATTAAATATTTTATTTTTAAATGTTTTTAGTTATATTATGTCGACTATATTATTCTAAAATTTTTATTTAGAAGAGAATTTCGTTTACTTACAAAATAATTGCTTACAGCTTCGTTTATACATGTCCGTATTGCACACAGCGCATTGTACACATGACCGTATGATGTTTGTACACAGCACATTGTACACACGATCATGGACACAGTACATTGCACACACAATTATATCATGTACCTATGCGATCGTGTGTTGCACATACGTCCATGCTGCATACGGACCCATTGTAAAACTTTTCTTCATGTAGGCAGTTAAAAACCCATATTGAATCGTAGAATGGACCACGTTTTGCACTGTCGATGTGGGTTATATCTCACTAACCCATATAGAACCGCACTTCAAGTGGAAAGTTGAAAATTCTGTATATATAAAACACCACATAATTATAGGTAAACGTTCTTTATTACAATGTGCATGTATATGAAATAATCATGTGCACAATCCAATCATGTGCGCAATAACACAGTCATGTGTGTAACACGGTTATGTGCAAACAAAATTGTAAACAATCATTTTGTTAACAATCTCTCTGGTTCATTATCTGACCTTCCTTTATCGGATTTTCTTGGAAATTTTTCCGAATATTGACTCATACCATAACTTTAGGTTCCAACGTGAAGTTAAAGAAACGCAGTCTCATATAATGGATTTGTTTTAAATTCTACCTATAGTCTATATTGCATCTATCTATTTCCTTAATATAGAACATCAAATCTTCCCTTTTCTCAAAATTATATACAAAAAAAAATATTTTATATCTTGCGAGCGTGAAATCTTTATTTAACACAGGGTAACATTTCATTAAAACATATGTTACTTCCTGAACACTTATGCCCGTTTCCACCAATGTAGATTAACTTTAATCTCGGTTCAACTTACTCTTCCTCTTTTTCTAGTCCTAAAGATTAGAAAAAGACGAAGAGTAAGTTGAACCGAGTTTAAAGTTAATCTACATTGGTGGAAATGGGCTGTATCTGTTAAGCTAGCATCCCAGCCACAAAAAATTGAAATGACACCTATGCCGGAATTAAGTGCTTTCTATGTGCTAATTATGTGCTCTAGTACCAATTTTTGTGCTCGAACGGTTTTGCAGAAAATCATAATGGAAAATAAGGATGCTAGCTTAACATTAAGTTAGTACTTCCTTCATTAAATTAATTATAAACAACGACATTTTTTACTGATACTTTATTCTTGTAAAGAGACGATGAGTGATCACTTCAGGGATTATTTTCCGGTCAAAGGAGATGAGCAACAAAATCTTGTTGTGCATATTTTGAAAGCACATAAATGAAGGAACAATTTGAGCCCACAACTAATTCGCTATCTATACTTTAACTGGTACTTTACTCTTGTACCAATATATGTATCAAACTTTATTGGCATATATCTTCTAAAACGTTACGGTTACATTAATTTTGATGTGTTATTTTGAAAACACATAAAAAGCACTTAATGTTACTATACTAATTTTTTTTATATTGTATGTAATTTAATGAAGGAATGCTAACTTAATGTTAAGCTAAAAAAAAACACCCCCACTTTAAATTACGATTTTCTGCTAAACTGTTCGAGCACAAAAATTGGCACTACAGCACATAATTAACACATAAGAAGCATTTAATTCTGGCATAGGAGCCATTTTGATTTTTTGTGGGGGGGGGAGTGCTAGCTTAACATTAAGACATACACTTACTTCCTATCGCAGAAAGGATATACATCAATAAAATTACTACGCAGCGTACAATCAAAAACACTATTGAGCGTTGAAAGTCTACAAGTTAAAACTGTTTTACTGAAGTTTGAAATCTTTTTTTAATCAATCTCTTACTTACTAATATCTAGTATGTCTAAACACCCTAAATATGTAACATTTAGAAATTATACATAAATCTTACTAGGCACGTATTTTTTTTAAAGCTTTTGTAGACAGAAAATGTTACCCTTTTTCAAACACGGAAAGCTATCCGTTTTTCACATACATCATGTAATTACATGATAATTTTATTTACGTATACCCTATGCGAAACGGAAAAAAACAAGAATACAAGTTCCCCTACAATAACTCCCCTTTACAGTAACACCCTTTCATGATATTATTGCAAACACGGAACGTATCTATTACGTAACGGATCACAAAAGAGTTTCCATTTCTCATAATATCAACTTGTAATACTTTTATAACATACGTAGCATACTTCAGTCATGCGAAGAAAAGTGATGCTAAAGAAGTAATCTTCGCCATAAAATTAAATGTGTTCCCAATTTGGTGTTGGCCCTTACTACAAGATTTAAAATGTTTTGTATGACATTGTATCATTGTTTAAGCATAATTGTAGCGACAAGTCTAAAATTACCATTGATATACGGTATCACAAATCATCTTAATGTGATCCTCCTGTCTTAGTAAATCAAATTATTGTATTAAATAGTATTTTTCGCATGACTTTTATATAAAACTACTTTAACTTTATGTTTCATGTAACTCATTATCATGACATATAGGTAACTGATATTTAACATAAAAAAATTTACGTGCAAATTAATTAAAGATTCACGTTTTATTGCTACATTCTGTATGTATTAATTATTTCAAGTAATTATTTGCAGATTATTACATTATTATATTAATAATATAAAATTAGTTTTCTACTTCTTATCGTACTTGCCTTATCGTGACTTTCCTTACATAAAATTATTTAACATTGAAAAATTAATATACAGAATGTCCATAACTCAGTTCAATCCGCTCTACCTGCTTATGACGAGCGATTCCGTAGGTTACAGACTGTATACAATATATAAACTAACTCGCTTAATTAAGAACTGTTACGAAGGATTAATGTGAATATATCGCAAAATGAGTTTCATTCTTTAATAAATTATTTGGCAAAATAGCTATCATAAATACACCCCTCGTTCTCATTAAAACATATTTTATTAATTTGACATGAGTATCTTAATTCTGCGTGTATAATATAAGTAACCTACAGATATGACACGCAAGTAATTTTTCTGACAATGCCCTGTAAAAATCATACAGTTGCGCGATTACCTGAGAAAATACCTAATAATCGTTGATCCTCCAAATGTTAAAATCTCAACCTTCAGTTGTATAAATAGCATGAAGAATCCTATCTATTACAGCTGATGTACCTTAGTAGTTAAAACTTTTCGCTCGCGGCATGAAGATTCTCCATTTCTCTTGACTAAGCTAAACACTCCGAACACCTATCTTTTTTTATCGAAATTTCCATGATTGTGGTCCCAAGTATCTCAGAGAGGTACCCTTAAAAACATTGCACCTGAAGATCGAGGTCGTACACCCATTTACTCATACAAGCGACACTTCCAATAAATAATTCAGATTTCATATTCTAAGAAAATACTAATTTTAATTCACCTAAATAACTATTCAAAAGATTGCTATTTGTAGAGTCAATAACCAAACATACGCGTGAAGCAACAATTCATATAAAAACTCTATTACAATCTGGTAGTTCATTGTCGGCATTGATTTTCTTGGAGATTTTATCGAATAACTGAGTCATAGCTTTCAAAATTTAAACGTAAATTTAAAAAACCCATTATTATTATTATACCATAGATTTGTTATATCTATAATCTATTGCATGGTTCTACCTATTTCTATAATAAAAAAATAATGAAGATTGAACGCGAAACCCTTATTCCTAAACTATATATCAACAGTATTGTGTATCAACAGTAAATTATATGTTACTGTCTGCATACCTATTTCCTATCGCGAATAGGACGTACATCGATAAAATTATTATGTAGCGTACAACGAGAAATGCGCGTGAACTTGATAATTCAAAACATTTTAGTATCTACAGTAATAGTAAATAAAGTGCATGTGAAATAATAGACAAATTAAAATAAATATAGTTTCTCTACAATATCTAGGATGTAAAGACATATACATTATATATCCGAGATATCATAGAGAGGCCTTAATCCATTGTTTACTATACATGAATATTTTATGAACTCTTATTGCAGGTATCACAATAGAAATGTTTCCGTTTATTAAATTTGAATAGGTAACACTACCCGCTTCGCACATTGTATACTTCATAATAATTTTATCAGTGCATTCCCCTCATGCAAAACGGACATATGCATGATACGAAAGAATATAAATAATACATTTGTGTTAATCCCCCTCGGCTATATTCCTGCTTCGTAATAATGTTGCAAATCCTTGGAGCACTCAGTAAATTATATGTATCGACTGGTGAAAGAGTTTCCACTTCCTACAATATCAACTTGTAACACGCTTATAACATAGCATACTGCAGTCATGCGAAGAAGGGTGACGCTAAAGGAAATAATCTTTGTCATGAAGTTAAGTGTGTTTCCAATTTGGTGTTGGCCATTGCCAAAAAATGTGACAAGATTAAAAATGTTCTGCATGAAATTATATCATTGTTGGTGTATTATTATGGCAACATGTTTGGGAGCAGCAGCAATTTATGGCGCTTTAAATCATTTTGACGAACCTGCCATTTTAGTACAACTATTAGTTTTAATATCCACCTTCTTTCACATGAGTTATAACTTCATCTCTTATCAACTTAATTATCATCATGCGCAAGTAATTAACATTTATTCATTCAATATTAAAAATTTCAGATATAATTTAGTTAAAGAATAATATTTCAAAATCGTGTTCTCTATCAATAAGAATATAATTTGCAGAATGTTACTTATGAAATGATAAATTTTTACGAAATAATGAAATCACATGAAGAAGTTGTTATTCAACGATATATTGACAAGTATATTGTATTCTATGGTCTATCTACGTTTATGTTCTATTTTGTCGCGATTGGAATAATCACAGTGTTACCTGTCGCGATGAATCAAATGTTTCCTACATTAGTCGAATATCCATTTGATGTGTCTTATCAACCATTAAGAACAGTGATCTTCATACAACAATCTTATGCCGGGATAATAATGTCAGGGCAACTATGCATGAATGTTTTTATGGCTCTATTGCTGTGGTTTGCATCAGCAAGATTTGAGATACTGACTGAAGAGCTGAAGAAAGTTACAAATCTCCACCTGTTGTTCCAATGTATTAAAAAACATCAAGAATTGATCAAGTAAATATGTAATTCTTACTAAAAAATGATCTAACTAAACAAATATAAGTTACATAAATTTTGACGCGCAATACATTTAGGTATGCTACAGAAGTTACTATTTGTGCTCGTCATTTCGTATTCTCAACTGTATGTTGTAGTACGATTACCGAAATACTTATCTTCCTTGTGTTCATTACGGTAAGTACATGTAATATTATTTTTTTTAAATCTAATATTCGTACTTATATACTTTACTTTGACTTTAGGCTCTGAGTACAATGGAAGAAATAAGAAATTAGGAATAAAGAATAACGATTTTAATCTATCAGAAATCAGATACATCGGAATACACGTTTCTGATACGTTGAAATCATTATTCCTTATTCCTAATTCCTTATTCCTGCTATTGTGCACAGCCCCTTACGTATAACTCTTACGTTTAAATATAACGATCATTAAATATATCTATACATGAATAGTTAAAAAAAGGAAGTTGTGTGTATGTAATATATATCATTGTATTATTAGATCCTTAATTTTCTTATGTAATGTGGAAGTAATTTTAATTTGTGTATGGAAGTAATTTTAATGTAAATACCTAAATACATTATTAAAAAATTGTAATGTAAATACATTAATTATTAATACGAAGTAGCATGAGATTATCATATACAATTTCTTTTAATAGCATCAACCTATACCATTGTTAATCCAATTTTTGGGATTAGGTACAATATCTTTAATGGAGGTGTTTATGTTTGTCTGGCCAGGAGAACACTTAATATTAATGGTAAATTATTTATTAAAAATTATTATATTATAAATAGTTTTAATAAAAGCTATTATCTTTCATAGTGCAAAAATATCGCAGAGGCAGCGTATGATGTATTCAAATGCAATCAATCAATTAAAATGACGAAATGTCTGCAAATTATTATAATGAGATGTCAAAAGCCGATAATCGTTTCAATACCCTGCCTTATGCCCATATTATCTTTCAATTACTTTACAACGGTAAGATTAAATTTTAAATTAACTAATTCATTAAAAATTCTCATCATATCATCTATATTAATTATTACTAATATTTCATACAATTCTTTATTTATCAAATTATCAATGTATTAAGCGTACACGAGCACCTACCACACACACATGACGTAGCACATACATTTCGAAAAGGAAAAACTATAATTTTTTTTTAAGAGAGTCAAAGTAAAATTATATTAATTGCTGCTGTTATAAAGTAATTTATTTAAATAACATTCAAAATTCAATTAAAAATAGAAAGTTAACAAATTAAAAACTAAGTTTTTAACTTGTTAACTTTCTATTTTTTCGATATATTTGTCAACATATACTAGTATGCATTAAAAAGAAAAAGAACTAAATAAAAATTTTAATTAATTTGCATTTTTAGACATAGTTAAAACTTTAAAATGATAACAAATAATTGTAAATATTTTTACAAATATAATTAAAAAGTACAGTCAAATATGTCAAATCTATTTTTTACATCATACTTTCCTATTTCTTCACATTTCTTTAGCACAATTTCAAAGGTCACTTCATTATGCACCATTCGCTTTTTCATTTCATATATGATAGTCATTTTAGATACTTGTAAATATAAAATGGATGGAGAGCATAAAAATGCTAAATTAGAATTAGAAAAAACTAAAAATAAAAAATATTTTGCTTCAATTGTAGATTTCCTAACAAAATTATTCTTTAAAATGTTAAATGATTTGTAATCATTGGCATATAAATTTATATATTATTAACAATAGCAAAACATTAAAATGTTTATACAAAGTGGCAGAAAAAGAAAAATATTTAAAAGAAAATTATTGTATTTTAAAATGTATAAACAGTAATGACATAAATATATTCTTTTACAAACAAAATCAAAATTTTACTTTTTTTAATACAAAAAGGGACAATTATATATATTTTTACATGTTTCAGTATTGTTCGACCATACTCTCCTATTTCACAACACTACGAGTAGTAATGGAGGACGATTATAATTAAATGTAAACATAATGTAATCGTAATAACCACTTTGATAATTAATATTTGCACAAAAGAGTATATATCTTATACTTTGCTATATAGGATTTAAAATATAGTAATGTTGTTTGATTTAAAGGTAACAAGAAATTCAATAGTTATGGTCATCCTCTTAGGCCCAGTTCCACAACTCACGGTTAACTCTTAACCGAGGTTCAATTTATTCATTTTCTCTTTCCAATTCTAGAATTGGAAAGAGATGAGAAACAAATTGAACCTCGGTTAAGAGTTAACCGTGAGTTGTGGAACTGTGTCTTAATGTAATCGTGGGACAGAGTCTTCGAAATTATTATAAAAGTCATATGAAATCTCTACGTATAATCTGATAATTACATATGCAACCGTGAGAAATCACATTGTATAATATTAAAATTAATTAAATAAAATCGTATATTTTACCAAATTACTTCATATATAGTGAAAAAATTGTTTATAAGCAGATGAAATCATATGAAATCATATAATCAGCGGGACAATATTTCAGCTAGTGGTTACTCCCTCGCGTAGGCCCCTCTGAATTTTGGACAGGGAGCGTGACCTTTGACAAAGAATGTCTCATATATATTATATATACATATATGTATATATATATATACACATATATTCATATCAAATTTAAATTATAATTGCGCGTCCAAATATAGTGAAACGTGCGTTTCACAGGAATAATGCATAATTAAATATTTTATCCAGGAGGGAATAAAACCCTATCACGATACGCAGCAACATCTCCCAGTAAGTATATTTTCGAAGTATCAAGTATACTTTCCAAATGTATTTTTTATTATACATATATCCTTCTCATGAAAAACGTGCAAATAGTACATGCAATGTATAAATAATTTTTCATGAACGTAATTTTAAAATCATTGTCTTATAAAGGACAGTGATCTTAAGATATCCCAAATTTGTCCAAATTGCTTTTTGAGAGGAACATAATCGGACATAGCTAATCAATTACTATATTGCATGATAAAATTATTATAATCGCGAGCGACTATTGTAAGTCAAATTGAAAATATTCTATATCGCGATATTATAATAATATAAAATATTTTATATGTTTACACTACTTAGCATTTGTTCTACTTAAAATAATAAAGAATCATGAACTGTTTAACATATTTTGTATTGTACTTTTCAGTAAATTGACAAATCAGAAAGAATCACATAAAATTCTTTAAAATATGTTGTCCTCTATGATTACTATTTTAAGAGTAAATACTAACAAGGGAAGTTATCTAGATATCATTAGTTAAAAAAGTAACGGTTAGAAAGTTATAGTATCCTATATTAATTAAAATGAGTGCCGTTCGCTCGGAAAATTTTATATTCGTTAGAGGAATGGAAAAGTAAAAAAAATTTACGAAAGTTTCATTTAAACCCTTTTTCAGTACCGTTTACAATAGATTTTTTTAACTCCATTCTTCTAACGAACATCAAATTTTCCGAACAAATGGCACTTATTTTAGTTAATAGAAGATAGGATACTACAACTTCTAACCGCTACTTTTTCAAAACTAATTGAACATCTGAGTAACTTTCCTTGTAAGAGAAAAATCTCTCAGTGTATATGTGTATACAATGCCTGATAATTATTGTGCTATCCCTCGTCGACAAGTAGAACAAGTTAAACTGAATAGAAGAATACACACTACAGTTATACAATATTCTCAATGAATAAAAAACTAATTAATCTATTAATACCATAAGTATAATAAAGTACGAACGATATATACATCTTCAAGAAATGATGAGATATGTACATACAATAAAAGTATACTCTTCTTTGTGCTTCTATAATAATTTACGTTATTGATTTCATAAATGCAATTGTATATTGAAAATTTACCTCAATACCTCTCTCGGGCAGTCATTGAGAGGCTCAATACTGTATTATTCTCAAATGTAGCAATTTATTATAAATATAAGAATTTACCTTCCTTTAATATTACATACACTGCACTTCATATAAAATTTCTTTCTTAAAACATTCATAGTACCTCTACAACAATCGAATATTCAAATGTGCTACATGTAAATTATAGTGTACGTAATATTTCCTCAGCATTGTGCACGCATTGAAAAATGTATGAATTTATTATACTATTACACATCAAATATTTCCGCGTCATGAACTGATAAAAAAAAAGCTTCTAATCTAACATTTTTCTAACATTTGTCTCTATTTGATACAACGTAGCGCAAGAAGACGTTTAAACGCATATAATTTTAAAATTATTGCTGTATGTACATTATATTTCCGATGAATTCATCGATGTAATTATGACGATAAAAACAACCCCCAAAAATGCTATCGCGTTTATAAGAGTGATAATCGCTTTGTCCTTTTCGTGGCCACTTTCAAAGAGTGCTAGTAAATTTCAAATAACATGCTTCAAAATTTTACGCTCTTTGCTCTGTATGAATACAGTGATATTGAGTGTACCTTTAGCGTACACCCTTTATCGTAATGATTATGACCTACCAAGGATAACGAAACTATGGTGTACGTTGGGTGCAATGATACAAGTCTCTGTGGAGATGACACAATGTGCACTACAATATGATCGATTGCAAGTAAGAAATGCATATCCATATGTAAGACCGACCTTCGATAAACCATCTTCAATTTGTACTATTCAATTCTATACAGATATTAATAAATAAAATATTTAACTCTGATATTGTTGATCAATACTATAAAAATATTATTCTGCAAATCACTTTTTACCAACTCTGCATATCCGAAACAGGATTGTACCTCCACGAAAATTATTATCATTATTTACTTTGAAAATGATATATCTAATTCAATCTTTAACATCCATTTATTCACAGCCCGGATATAAACTACGCCAGCTGAAAAAATCGAATTAAATTTCAGTATTTGATTTCGGAAATGGAGCGTACTTTGGAATACGCGGAACTATATGAGAAAAATATCTACCAACGGTACGTTGATAGATGCGCGATGTTTTACGTGAGCTCCACAGCGGCAGTGTTTCTCGGTGCGGGTATAGGAGTAATCGTGCCACTGACAGCGGCCGATCAGATATTTCCGACAGAAGCAAAGTATCCTTTCAACGTGGAACACGAACCAATAAAGACTATTATCTTTGTGCATCAGTTCATCGCTGTTTGGCAGTGCTTCTCCACTGTTTGTATTGGTAGTTTTGTCAGTCTCTTCATATGGTTCGCCGCGGCGCGTTTCGAAATCTTGTCGCAACAATTTCGTATGGTCACCGACATTTATGACATCACTGTGTGTGTACGGCAACATATAAAGTTATTGAGGTAACAAAAAATGCATTTCATCATTTATAAAAATTGATAATCGTTACTATAAAGAAATAATTTTTATTTAATGTATATTTTTTGGTAGTATCGTTTAGCACTTAGCACATCATGTTTTTCGCGTAAATAAGCTGGATACTATCTATTACTCCGTTTTTCACGTAAAGTAAAATTGTTATAGAAAAAAATCAAATTCATTAAATGTCACTTTGTGTTTTTTGTATCTAGTGAATTAATTTTTCTGAATATTATTCTGCAAGAGCCATAACGTCGTACTTTTAAAAAAAACATTATAAAAGTTTAAAATATAATAATTTTAATTATTATTTTAAGCAAATACACATACTTTTATTATTTTAATAGTAAAATTTCTAATTAAAAAATTTCATAATTGATTTTGCCAAGGATAAGATCAATTAGTTAATTAAAATTTTTTAAAAACAAAATCATTTTTATATAAAATATACAATTTGCAATATATGCGAGTATAAATATTTTTATAGCTTTAAATTTTGAGATTAAAATTAAAATACTGTCTAGACATAATATATACACACTAGCTCTCATAAATATTTGGGCATTAATATTTTTGTCGCATTTCACGAAAAGATAAAGAGATGACTTCTTTTGCCAACAAATCGATTTCCTACAGTAGCACAATACAATTCATTGGCGAAACATTGGTTAAACATTGGCATACATTGGGAATATTGAGCCAATGTTGCGTCGATGAATTGTGCTACTAGAGAGCGTGATTTGCCTATATCACTTTTTATGCCAACAGAGTTCATTTGCGCACAAAAAATATTACATGCGGCTCGATTACCTATGCACTTTTGCGCACAAATAAAAATTTCAGAAACAAAGTCATATTTGCCTACATGTATTATTGCCTACATGAATTATTGCCTACAACTCGATTGCCTACAAGCACTTATGCGCATAAATATAAAATTAAAGTTAAGAAAATAATTTATATTTTTAAAACAAAGAATTTATGTTTTAAAACAGAGAATTTGTTTTAATACAAAGAATTCATGATTCTAAAGCAGAAAATTTATGACAGAATTAGTGTTTATAAAGTAGAGAATAGTACATGTAGGCAATCGAGCTGTAGGCAATAATTTTTGTGCGCAAATGAACTGCCGGCAAAAATGTAAGACAAACGATGCTGTAGGCAATCGATTTGTAGATAAACAGGATCCTCTCAAAGTTAAATATCTTAATAAAAAAAATTTTAAAGAAGTTTTTGACCTTTAAAGCGCCAAAACAGAGCTTTAAATTTTTGCGATTGAATCTTTTCCACATATTGTTCCTAAACATAAAATTAAAAATTTATATTTTTTTGTAATATTTTTGTCTTACTTTGAAGCGCTGCAATTTGATGAAACATCGGACGAAGTTTTTTTTATTTAATATCCGATTGGACATGACTCTGTTCACAACGCTAATAAATTTGCAATCTTCATTACATCAAATACAATTGACCAATTACGAGTAATTATACCCTACGCATGTTTGAGGTGTCTTTTATATATGTATATAAAAGCAGAATATTACAGCTATAAACTTATAATTCGGATTATTCACATGTTTACTGTATTACATAATGCATAAAATTATAAATTATGTTTCGAATTTTATCGCGAAAGTGAACTTCAGAA